AATGTGCCTCTTCACCCCATAGGGGCGCCAGATCCAAACAACATCACCCTAGCACTATTTTTTCATAATCCACCCTTCCTGCTTTTACAGGAGCAACCCTATTCTCCTATTCATTCATATCCATACCAAACCCTTGAGACTATGCTCAGCGCTGAGGGAGGAAAGGGGTCTGGAAAGTCCGATACTGGTCGTAAGGGGATTACTGATTCTATCATAGTCCAATCATTAAAAGCAAGACAATAGTCCCGTCTCAGTTCTTCTTCTTCACCTCTCTTTGCACCTTCCCATTTAACCTTCCCTATCTTTCCCCCATGGGTCCAAGGGTACAAGGTGTCGTCATAACAACCCAGGCTCCACATGGCTATTAGCCGGTCCGACGGGCCTCTCTTTTGGTTTTGATGGATCTTCCTTCGGATTTCTCCAAATCACCTGCTCTAGATAGAACTCTGTAGTTTGCTTTAGATCATGGGGTATTTGTCGTTTCTTGGCTAGTCACATTAGGCTATGGTCTCCTGCCAATGTAAGCAAGGTCTCTTCATTGGAGGTAGCTCGAGAACTGTCCTCTTTTCTGTAATATCTCTAAGCGAAGCTGGGTAAGGCTCCCAGTCAGAATAGCAGAATAGCTGGTTAATCTGCTTAGTGGTTGCCTCTCTTATTTCTGGTTTTGGAATTTGTTAGTCCAGCTGCGATTTTCTTTTTTGGTTGAAGTTGCCGTACATAGGACACTGGATTCGGTTTCCAGTTAAGCCTAAACTGGGTATTGGCCCCAGGAATTCCGGGTTGAGATGTTGAGGGATTCCCGGCCTCAGTTCTCCAATTTTCTATAATACAAACTGCATCTTCAAAAAAAAAACAAAAAACGGACCGCTAGATGACTTGGACGACGTGCATCTCTGTTGTGGCGTACAGTCAGGGCCTCGCCACACCACTCTTGAAATGGGGAAATTTGTCAAGAGCTGTCAGACGGTCTCAAGAGTTGGGTCTTCAAGAGTTTTCGGCCCCTCGCCACACAGCACTCTCGAAAGGGCAATGGTGTTGGACAGAGGATGGAAAACGACAGTCATACAGCTTTGTTCTTTCCGAATGGCGTCAACTCTCGAAAATCGAAAGTCTCTCAAGGGTTTGGGCAAGGACGCTTGGAAACGCACGAGTTGCAGGCTGGGGTTTCAGGCCATTGCCACACCACTCTCGAAATATGCTAAGTGAGAATGAACTTCCCCCTACAATATGGTCAGATGCACCAGCCACATTTTTGTCTTTTTCACATTTTGAGAGAGGTGTGGCGAGGCCCTCAGATCTTTCAAGACCTGCTCTTGAAACGGTTTCAAGAGCCACTCTGACAGCTCTTGACTGCCCCAAGTGTCAAGAGGCTGTGTGGCGATGCAGCAACTCTTGAAAAAGAGTTTTCAAGAGTGGTGTGGCGAGGCCCTCACACAGCTTGGATAACCCAGCGTTGACCTAGCTCAACCGAGATAGTGGGACAAGGTCCCCGGCCTCGTTGCTCGTTTGGAAATATAACTTCTTTGAAAAAAAAAAAAAAAAAAGG